CCCCCCCCAGTACAAGCAGACAGTGGCCATGTGACTTCCAAGGTCCCTCCTGGCTAGGCAGTGTCCCTCTGGGCCCCCAGGCTGCCTGTCCTGCTTGCCTACTCGAATTCTGGGCTCTGATTAGAAGCCCCCCCCCCCCATGGTACAGCCACACAGAGCCTAAAGGCCACATTGTTCCGGCCACAAGGGCTGTAATTCTCCTGAGAGGTTAGCTTTTGAGCCAGAGTATTACTGGAAGGACCAAAGACCTTCCAGAGTTTTTAAATAAATCAAAAACAACAAAGGAATTGCAAACAGTTTGGTGCTCATCCTTCAAATCTGGACAAAATTCACTTCCCCAGAGCCTGTGGACCTAAACCTCCATAGCCCATTGACCTCCAGGCCCGTCCCCTCACCCTCATGGTTACTTATGTTCCTCTCTGTCTTTCCAGCTCAGTTTGTACACTCCTAGCAGGCAGCAGCATGGCTGGCTTGTGTCCCCAGGCACACGAGTGTCTCCTGATCTGTCTGTGCCCTGGTGAGGGGCTATAGGGCGAGCCCATAGTGTCCTGCCCACCGCACCCCATCCCTGGGGTGTCCTGCACAGCACAGCAGAGGTTCAGGTAAGGGATCACAGGGTGGGCGCAGCAACATCCACAGAGCATGGAGATTGTCACAGGTGCTAGGGGCTCTCAGCCCTGTCACTCACTGCTGGGCGACATAGCTCAAATTATTTCCACTCTCAGCCTCAGTTTCTCCCTTTGCAAAATCAGCAGTTGGAAGAGAGGCTATCAAAGCCTGTTCACTTCTAGCTCACTGGATAGTATCTTCCCACTCAACACCAGGCTGAGTTAAAAATCCAGGACCTTTCTACTGTAAATTCACCATTTTAAGCCTGCTTAGCCAAGCATCCCCCACACGGGAAGGAAAAGTCATTCCATCTGCTTTTCTCTCTCAGCTCTCGGCTGGCCTGTCCCCTCCCAGGGCTGTGCCCTTCCTCTTGGCTTTCCCTGCATCAGAGGCTCATTTCCTCCTCCAGCCTGAGCAGGGGTCCAGGGAGTCTGCACCTATCCCTGCTTGTCCACAGCTTCCTTGGAGCCAGGGCCTTGGCGAGCACCACTGCTGTTGATGAGACCTAATTAGCGCAGGGATCCGCTTTCCTGGCCCTGGTAAGAGGCACCCACCCGGGAGCTCAAGGACACAGGGCGCCCCATTGTTCCTTGGAGCCACACAGCTGCCTGCTGCAGCTGCTCACAGTCCTGTCAGCTGCTGCCCTCTTGTTCCTCTGTGCTCAGGGTCCTTTCCATGTCCCCAGTGAAGGGCTTGTCCAAGTGCCACCCTCAACAATTGGGGTCCTTCCCCAGAACTGCATCTCCCGGCATTGTCCTTCAGGATGCCCATCTGCCAAGCCTGGGCTCAGTTCCTATTTCTCCTCAGACATTTGACATGGCCTATGCCCTCTCCCCAAGGTCCTCCCTTCACTTGGCTCTGGGAGCCCATCTCTGCTTTGCCTCTGATGCTTCTGGGTTCTTCTGGTTGCTTCTCCCCAG